TTTAATTCGTTTATGCCCAGGTTTGCATTTCTATAGATGTAGAGTTTCAGGAAATTTTCGAACCACTATACCTACTTAATTTTTCTGTTACAAAAAAATGAAATAACAAATTATTTAATTGCCAAACAATAATTTATTTATTTTAAACATACTTTTGTTAATTGACATTATTCAATGTACATGTCACCGGTAGTATGGATAATTCAGGTATAATGCAAAATGCTTAGGCGTTATGCAATTGCCGACTCATTTTAGGCAATGTCAATAAAACATATGATTTTCAATATTATTTTACATATAACTTAGGTATTTTATAAAATTTTAATTGTTAATTTAATTAATTGTAAATTTAAATTTAATTTAAATTTTATAAAATACCTAGGCATTATGCAAAATGTCAATTTTTTTTTTAGGCAAAGTACAAAACATTTTATTATATGTTATATTACATTAAGATTCTTATAATTATTATATATTATTACTAAATATTGAAATTATATATAATTATATATATATAATTAATATACGCCAAAATTTCAATGAAAATGTATCAAAATTGCAGTATAAATATGTTAAAATTGCAATGAAATACATTATTTTTTATAATGAAAAAGTACGTTCAACGTCGACACTTGTTATCGATGCATATTTAAAATAGTTTAAAAAATTGGGTGATGTATCTAAATATTTATACTAAATATTTTTATTTAGTTAGTATTTGTTTAGTATTTATACTAAATATGTTTAAACTATTAAGTAATTGACTATTTAATTCTTCTAAACTTGTGAGTTTTGTGGATAACTCAGATAAATGTAATTTTAAAAGTCCTTAACTACATTTAACTATTTGTAAAAGTTTACGTTGTAGATATATTTTTTATGTATAATCACTTTGGAAATAATAATTTGTATATTTTATCACGTGAAGTATACATATTTAATCAGATTTGATTTACTGGGTATTAATAAAAAGTTGCAATATCAATTAAATCTACTCTTTAATTATTACTCGTATTACAGACAACATTTAATTTTTATCTATTATATGAATATTTTACTTAAACTACTATTTACTTATTATAACATTGTTATAAAGTGATATTTTGAATTGCATAAAATGTTATTTTTAAGGTAAATACACTATTTTTTTTGACACTTGAAATTACGAACACATTTTCAAAATTCTTGGCCAATTCTAAAAAATTGAACTTTTATTAACTCATTATACTGTTCATCCGATAACAACTAAAATCAGTGGCCACATTTTTAAAAAAATTTTTTAGTTCGTTATTAAAATTTGACTTCATATAAATCGTATCCATAGTTGCAATATATTAACGGGACACAAAAACGATAAGAAAAATGACGATATTGTAATAAAATTATTGGTACGTTCAGAATTATTATCATAATAGTAAGAGAATCTTAATTATTGCATTAAATCATACACGCACATTTTTGAAAAACTATAAGTAAAGTCGTTGTTAATAGGCGATGCCCAATTGTTTATTTTCATCATATTGCCTACTCCACGTTTAGTATTATTCATAATACCAAAGCATTTTGCAAAATACTAGATTATCCATATCGCCGGTAACATAACTGTATATACATTTTTAACAAGCGTATAAATTGTCTTTGACCATGCTTAATACAACTTATTAAAATAATAAAGAAAGCCTGTCATACTAAATTTTATATAATTAATTATATTTATGTATATTGCCATGTAGATAATTATTCACATGAACCAGACATTGTATACAACGGCTAGTATTGAAAGTGCAAAGTGAACAGAATATATATATATATATACAATTGACGTATATAATTTTATTTAATATGTTTTTAATAGATTTGATTATTAAACAAAATAGAAAATTATTTGTATTAACTTTTATTGAATATTAAAACTATTTATTTTTACAAATATTACCATTATAGCATTTAGAGTTGCATGAAATTTCAGCAGCTTTACATTTGTACATAAGTGCTTCATATTTAAGTTAACCTAAATAAGTATTGTTAGGTTTTTTAATATATTTTTATTTATGTGGGAAAGGTTTTTCAAATTTAACTTATGTTAAAAGTAAATATATATAGAAACAAATTAAATGTTGAAGATGATTTAAGATTGTATTTAACTAAATTAGAACCCAATATTAATAAACTGTGCCAATAAAAAGAAGCTCACTCTTCTCACTAATATCTTTGAAAGTGACCTCTTTTTGTTTTTACTATTTTTTGTGTGTTAGGTTTTAATGACAAAAAAATGTATGTAAATTTTTTAATTTTTAATATTTATTTTAGTTTACTAATTAAGAAGAGGTACCCAAAAAAGTTAATTGATAAAAAGGATTACAATGATTATAAAAGTTTGAGAATCCCTGCCCTAAGCCATTGAGAGTCTAATGATTTGTTTATATATGAGAATTTTATTATCAAGAGAGAGATTAAAATAGAATAATTGTTTAAATTTATTGAGTTTTATATGAGGGAGGATTTTTTTGTTTTTATATATGTAGCCTAAGTGAGTCTTTTATCTAGGTTTAATCTAAGGTTAAAATATAAAACTATAAAATAACTCTAATATTCACACTGCCCACACCAGTCTTAACATTGTATGTAATAACTAGTCATTATACCTATCATAGTTGTATACTAATAGCTAAAAAAAAAAAAAAAAACTAGTCATTATATTACAATGACAAGTCTATATGAAAATATAATTTGTATTATTTACTTTGTCAAATATCTTAGTCCGGGCACTGTATTACAATGACTGATTTATTCACTTAGACCGTAATATATATATTAAATGGAAATTGTATTCTAACATTGTTTTATGAAAAATTAAATTAGACAATAAATTAGAAAACTTAATATTGTATAATATTGATGTGGTATAATTATGTTAACAAAGATTAGTTACTTTTTAGTACTTTCTGTTAGCCTTATTATTATAAATTTTAAACTTGTATTAAGATTTTATTATATTATTATTACGTAGTGTATTACTCGTGTAATGTTTTTTTTTTTTTTTTATAATTTATGTTTTTGAATAACAAAGGTTGATGTTAAATTACTCAAACATATTTATTAATACTTATAATACGGACCAATTATACGTAAAGAAATCAAAAATACAAAAACTCATGATAATTATTGAAGGAACAAAGTATAATGCAATTCTCTATAGCCTAAAGTGTATACTATATATATATATATATATATATATATATATATATATATATAAGATATATTTTGGTTCTGTTGTATGAAGTTCCAAAAGGACTGATAACCTGGTTAAGGATAATCGATGTATAAATTCTCAGCGTGTAAACAATTATACAATTACCAAGTTTAAATCATAATTGCAAATATCACTACTAAATGTGTAAACTTAATAGAAACTATTTGAAATTGTTGCTATAAGAATTTAGATACTTATAAATTATATCATATCGGTTGAATATAAGTGTAATGAAAATTCGTGTAGTATAACAACAAAACTATTCGACAAAATAACTATACCCAACTATACAAATTCCGTGAATACAATTTTATAAATATAATAATGGAATCTCTTTCCTTCTCGCACGTGCATAACACATATAAGCATCATATTATTTCAATTTATTATTATTTTTTTTGTAATTACTGTACGTTCTATTATTATTTTTTTTGTAATTACTGTACGTTCTCTAAATTACGTTTTACCTTATTATCAAAATCAATTTTAGTTATAACTACTTATCAACTTTTATCACTATTCCAACTTTCATCAACATTTTATATTGTCCTCGTATATTTTATGTATATTTCGTTTTGACTTTATTTATAACAACACTAAATTATATCATAACTATTGTAATTGCTTATTTGTAACTTTCGAACTACAATTCTATAATATAGAAAACTCTAAAATAAAAATAAAATAATGAAATCTTTTATTTTATATAATTGGATTTGAAGAAAGTATTTATTATCAAAACACATATCTTCTATATTTTCCTTTATTTGTAGATGTTAAAAAGTATTTTAATACGAATATCATAATTTTAAAAATTAATTGTGATATATATATATATATATATATTAAATATATGTAATTAAAAACTAATCGTAATACAACCATTTCATTTAATAAAATAATTATATACTTTAATTTCTAAGTTAAAACCTAAATATTGGTTGTTTTATCAAAATAATTAACAGTTACGAAAACCTTACATTTTAAAACTACAATAGAAATTAAAATTTTAATTGTAATCGTTGTATAGAAATGACTACTGAAATTCCGTATGAACTAGAGATCATTTTCTGTATATTCTTATGTGAATAAGAGTAATATAAGTTATAATAGTTATAATTGAAGTAATTAAATTATAATTACATTTTTTAATTTGTTTGGTTCATACAAATTTATAGTGCGATGAAGAAAATTAATTTTGAATTTAATATTAATTAGAAATATGATACAGATAATATTATATAGATCAAATCTTTAGTTGTCAAATAAATAAATATTTAATTTCTCCAAATTACGAGTTACCAAGTTCATTAACCATTTTACGTTAAAATATGTTTCAATAACCCTAAAAATTAAATTCTAATGTAAATCATCGTGATTGACTGGATATTATAACATTTAAATTTTAACTAAGAAATTATTATACCAAATGAAATCAATTTAATTTTTATAGATTAGGTTAAACAAAATCATTTTAACTAACGAATATTTTTTTGTTTTGATTTAATATTTAATTTAATTTATTGAGACGTATTTGTATACGTAAATTGGTTCATAACGCCGTACATATTAGACCGTATTTTAATAACTAGAAACTAATGTAAATGTACACATATTATCAGTATTATTTGTTTAATAAATAAACTAAAAGGGTTAAAGCCAAAAATGAGGAGGGCGTTTAAATAGTTGACTAAAGTAGGTGGCGCGCTACATAGATCCGGAAAAATCACTTGTTTATAGACCCGCGTATCGGAGTGTTTTGCGGCTTTCGAAACATTGCACTGCAAACGAATATTTATCCAGCAACTGGTCATACATTTCCTTGTTGCGCATCAATGCGGTTGTATAAACTTATTACACGACAAGGTTAGTATAATAATTGTAATACGTTTATCACTTTACACATCACGAAATTTTTAATAAAAATATTTTTGAATCAAAAGCAATTTTTGTACATTTTTTTTTTCGTTCACAACTTTTTTGTTATAAACATTATGCTTTGTGATATAATTTTTGTTTAATATTTAAATAATACATTCAAAATTTAACAACAGGTATGTGTTTAGGTAGAAATATAGCTTTAAAGGAATCACTTTGTTGACGTCACCACGTTAAACGTACAACTGAGATAATTTATAAATATTTACATCCACAGTGTTTATGCATAATTTTATTTTTAAGAATTAAAATAAATTTTCCAAATATTAAAATATAATATCCATATAATTATATACCCTCCATTGTTTAAAATATTTTTTTGAAAATAGCAAACTGATTAAACCTTATAAAATTACCAATATCTTTTATTATACTTTTTTTATTTATATATGTGTACACAACAAATAATTCACATAGGTATCGAAATTTTACCGTCGAATTAAATTACGCTTAATAAAAGTTAGAACTTTATGTTGAAAATATAGTTTTATAAATTCGTAGAAATACAATAATTGAGAAAAAATTTGTACGTTTATTAAATTTCAAATACTTGCAAACAAAACTAAAACGATTTCGAGTACATACATTCAAAGAGTGAAGTGGAATCATCCCCAAACACACATGTATTTGTAAGAATATAAATTTATAAAAACTATGAAACCTTAAAGAAAATTCTGTACTTATGTAGTTGATAACCAATAATTAGGCGATAAGCATTTCTAATAAATAACAATTTCGATTTTTCAATTATGTTATATTATTAGACATAAAATAACTTTTGTAGCATAAACATGTGCTTTACGATAACAATTTTTTAACTTGATGAAATATTAGAACGATAATAATAATTATATAATTATAATTATTATAGTAAAGACTATAAATATCCGTCTAGATAAAATATAAGTTATTTTATTATCGAATAACAACGTTAATCATAGAATTGTCATGACGTAAATAACTTTATTTTACTTACTTAACTTTACTATGTAAGTAAACGTTTTTCTTTGTACAGCTACGGTAGTGAAATTTCTAAATGTAAACACAATTAATTTTGAAATAAAACTGTTTTAATTTTTAATGATATATCTACCTACTCAATATTTGTTTCATATTCATTTTATAAGTCAACAATTACGGTCTACTACGGAAAATTTCAATAAGCATATATAAAAATAATGTTTCAACAACAAAAGATAATAAAATAAAATAAATAGTGTATTATATAACTTTAAATAACACAAATAAACAATAAAATAAATAAATTTACTTACAGTTTAATTTTTTCCAAGTGTCATTTGATTTTTTTATAAATGTGCATACAAATAAAAATATTTATTTATTAATTTTAGTATAAAAGGTCGAATTAAAGCCCAATTATATAAAAAAACATGATATACGTACATATATATATATATATATATATACACGAATAATATATACCCAATATGTATCCACCAATAAAGAACATGTTTTTGGATTTATGGTGATTTTACATTGCGGATATACAAAATAAATTCATTTTGTACCTACATAGTACATATATTTTGCACCACCAAAGTAATGTTAATGTTTTTCCAGCAACATTGTGTAACAAAAAACCGTGTTTTATTTTATCATTCCAACTACTTATACCTTCTTTTTGACATAACTATGACGATATTTACATTTAAAAAAAAAAAAATACATAATTATTTGTAGTCGAATTAATACACTTAATTCAATTATTTTATGTCACCTAACAAGCACGTTTGTTATAATTATGATTTATGGATATTTTATAATCTGATTAGATTTTTCTATAAAAAAAAACATTGAATTAGTTATATAGTATAATATTTATAATATTAAATTAAAATAATTTTGAAACAAAATGTATTTAGTGCTTCGTTTTTAATAAGAAAATATTATATATTAATATGATCCATGTTCGGGAACAGGTATAGCATATTACCTTTTTTTTTTAAAATTTCGTTGATTTTATAAATTTGTTTTAGAATATTTATTCAATCACAGAAATATTTTGAAAATACATGATTATAAATACAAAAGTGATTAAATTAAAATAATATTTTCATATCAAGTCACTCAATCGTTAAAAAAGTAGTAGGTAATTAGTTAAAAAGTACATACAAAATCATCTTTGATCACAGATATCTATTTTCAAGTATCACGACGAAATATGTAAATAAATTTTAAATACTTTATAAAAAAAAAAACCAATGAAAAAAGGCTAGAGTAATATTTTCCACGTATCACATGTTTAAACATTATTAATATTTAACCTAATATTTTTATATTTTAAATGCACCTTGTTATTTTCGTCAAACAGCTATATTATTAATTTATTATCAAGAAATATAAATTATTATTCAATAATAATACATAAACAACAATTTTTTGTGTATCTGAGTGCATTAAATCTACCAATTAAACGCAGTTTATCAATAATATTTATGATTATTTAAAAATAAACGAGTACTTGATTTATATGTTTATATAAATTATAATCGAAAATCGAAATTATTACAGTTAATAATTTAAAATAAAATAAGAACATTATAGTGTATTATTGAAATTAATTACATTGTCGGACGTTAAGTGGATAAGCATTGGTTATTTATTTATCGGAAGTATTTAGCACGCCTTGACTTGGTACTTGCACTTCCAAATTGTTTTGATGCCTGTAATTATTAATTTATCCTAAAAAAACATAAATAATAAAATATTATATTATGTTATGTTGGCTTAAAATTATTTTTAATAAAAATTTTTCAAAACTATGTTCTTATTGATAAAAAAAATTGAAGTATTACATTTTAGAAATAAATAAAAAACTTATTTCACTTGATGGGATTAAATAAATAAATTTTAAAAAGATTTAACAGATTGAAAAAGATTGCCAAATTATTATAAACCGTAGTTTTTCTAACTCTATGAAGAAAAAAAATCTGTTTACCGTATAAATTAGGATTTATGAATTCACGGATAAACAATTACTTCTCATGATACTCATACAATAGCTAAATACCCGTATGATATTATAATAATATGAATTCCATTAATTTTTGTTTTCAATTTAAAAAAATAATTCAGCCATATTTAGTAGTAAAAACTTACCTGGTATAATATATCTCGACATTTTTATTTTACTTAATTTGCTCAAACGCATATTTCTATTAAACGCACCCTTAAGAATACTTGACAAACTTTGAAACAAAAATATTGATGCTTGTATCATCAATGTTATGCGTCAACACTCAATTTTGATTCAATGAAGGATTACATTTAAAAAATCGTCAAACAAATGCAACGTAACACTGGAATAAGTATATAATAAGTATAGATAAACATTGTATTAAAAAAAAGCTCAAAATGATAATATCAAATAACAACATTTTTTTTAAAAAAAAAAAAAAAAAGATTAACAGTAATAATAAACCTACTTGTATTATAATACATTTAAAATGAATTATTTCATTTTAGTTTTTTACTAAAACACATTTTGATATTAAATTGGAGTAAACATTTAAATAAGCACACTTCAATTGTATTCATTTAAATTCTAGAAGACAAAATACAGATAATATATATATATATATATATGTAAGTAGATTATACTTAATATAACAAAAGAGGAAAAATATAGATTTTTCTATGTAAAATAATGTCAAGTGATAAAATTACTGATAGTAACAATTAATAAAACTAAAAAAATCACAAATTAAACATAGTGCAGTAATAATAGTATTCAATAAAAAAACATTCTTTAAATCTATTTTATCTTGAAAGAAAACTACATTTTTAATTTTTTTTAATGTACACCAATGTACATTTACCGGATCGAAAATATTTTAAAGCAAAATTGTATATGCTATTGTGTGATTCAGCCACAGCATATAATCGAAAAATTAAATTTTATAGACTTAATTTTAATCAAAATGATCCACTCGTTTTTAAATTTTTTTGTATAATATTTTTTATTTTGTACTTAATATAGTGAAACCGGATTTTAAGTAATTTTAAAATTCTTTAAAATGAAAAATATTAATGTCTGGATTAATGATCATTTAATAATCTTATTTTAATTTATGTTTATTTTAAATATCTAAGTATGTTATTTTTATGTGAATTTATTATGAACTCAATTTTTTGATACTCCCGAAATTTCATTTAACACACTACTAGATTGGAGCTTAACAGGTTTTGTTTCGTTTTTTCCTATTGGCACGTAGAGAACGTACCCAGGACCTCCACCTGACCGAGGGTCCCGAATCACATATTTACATTTTAAGGTATAACGTATTAATACGATCGTCTGTAAAAAAAAAATTCCTTGTTCTAGAAAAATTCTTAGGTAAATGGCAGTGTTAAAATGTTAAATAAATAATGAATGCTTAATTGTGTGCAATTACGTTGGGTATATTTGATTTTTTATTTGAACAGGCTATTCTTTAAAATTAATAACTGTCCTAAATAGGTTTTCTTATAATATAACTCAATGAACAGTCTGGCGATAACGTTCATCATGAACACATGCTCTAAGGCTCTCTCCGTTATCAGTATTTTAATTACGTAAATTACGTTTTCTTTTTCAACGTATATCATATTATGATTCGTTCCGGTAAAAGTCCCCCTCGTACGAAGACGTCATCAAAAAGAGTATTATCCAGTACTTCTCCAAATTCTCCTCTTCACGAGGGGAAAAAGACCAAAACTTTCACCTCACCAAACCATTTCGCTGTTCTCGCCTCAACTAACACTAACGATGACACTGTGTTCGATGCGGCTCCACCTTCCTGCGAAGTCACTGTACCTTCATCTCTCCCTTCTGACCAGGCAGAGCCTGCGGCTCCACCTATCTACATTAGGAACATCAATAACTTTTCCGCATTCAAAGATGTATTAATTAAGACCGTCGGCCCCAAGGGGTTTACATGTAAGTCCACTCCTTCGTACCTTATCGTCCGTCCCAACGGTTGCATTAATTTCAACTTATTGTCAAATTATTTGATGGAAACTAATGCCAGTTTCCATACTTTTCGTCCTCATTGTCAGCATCCACTCAGGATCGTGATCAGAAACCTCCATCATTCCAGTCTCAGTGCCGATATTTCGTCCGCGTTATCGGAAGAAGGACACCTAGTGAGGAATGTCCATAATGTAAAAAAAAACAATTGTCCTCTCCCAATATTTTTTGTCGACATTGAACCCAATATTAATAATAAACATATCTAAAACATTACTTCATTACTAAACACGAAAGTAGTGATTGAAAAACCGAACAAAAAGACATACGGTCCGCCGCAATGTTTTAATTGTCAAGACTATGGTCACACGCAAAACTATTGCCATCATCCATCGCGTTGCGTCAAATGCGGCAAGGCTCATGAGTCAGATAGCTGCACCAAGGATCACTTCAGTCCAGCTAAATGCGTCCACTGCTCCGAAAATCATACGGCCAGCTTCAAGGGGTGCCAGTTCTATCAAAGTATTTTAAATCGCCATAAAATCAAATTTTCCAACTACAAAAAAAATATCACACACTTAAAAATTTATTCTTCAAGTCCCTCCCCAGTGATCCCTCTCAATCCATCCCGTCATATGCTGCTGCTACTTTTGGTTCAAAACCGAACATTAATTCGCAAAACTCAAATTTAAATTTAGCTCTTTCAAAATTCCTATCTGATTTAACATCCATAATAAATTCTTTTCTTTCCGCTTTATTAATAATTAATTAATTAGGGCATTTACTTTTAATATTACGTTGTTATTAAATACCTACACTAATATTCCGTTCTATTTACTTCTTATCTGATATTATATTCATATTTATTATTAAATTATTATGCTCATTATGTTTAATTATTAATTCAGCTATTGTATCACGTTATCTATCAATATTTTAATTGTCGAATTATAATAGTTTATACTAGAAGTTCTTAATTAATAAAAAAAAAAAAAAAAAAACTCAATGAAGCAAAGTAAAATTAATGAGTGTATTGAACTTTTTGTTATCAAAAATACTCAAAGAAATTAAAAAAAATACTCTAAGTTCACGAATAAACTTATTCTACGCAAAAAACAAACTAAAAAATTAGCATCAATCACAAAAGAAGAAGTATTCAAATTTACGCTAATCGCATCATAAGCTGCACAAATCAATGTAATTTATTATACCCGTTAACCAACAATTATATTACGTGAAACGTTTTTAGAGAGATATAAGAGAGCACCCACTTTCTTTTTCTTTAACTTGAACTAAAGAATATTATCAATCATGAAACTATAAACTTTGAGCATAGAATAATCCAACGTAGATGATGGTTTTATTAATTTATTAGTAGAAATGCCTAGATAATATTTAAATTCAATTCGTATAAACAGGAAGAGGTCAAAACGAAAATTATCAATGAACAGCGTTGAGCATCATCTAGATAAATTATCGAAATAAATTATCTAGAAAAATAATGAATTATCTTTTATCTTATCTAGATAATACACAAAATTAGTTATCTGATGAATTCTTGAGTTATCTAATGTAATTCATCTAGATAAATAAGTTCAAGTATATTTATTTAAAAAAAATCGAAAAATTGAACTTGAAAGTTAAAAACTAATAACAATTTAAAATTAATGAAAAATTTATTAATATTATTAATTTCTTAACTTTATAATTAATTACTATTATTATAAATATTGAGCTACTGCAATATATACTTAGTTATAATATTTAAATTGTGCCTATAAGTATTATTTTTAAAAAATTGTTTAAATATTTAATAAAGATTTTTCAGTTTATATCTTCTAGTGACTCTTAAAATATTTGATTCCTAAGAAAGAGAATTAAATAACACAGATAATAGCGAAATTAACTTTTTAACATTTTAACCATAAATATTACTCCATAATAAGTATTATATAAATTATAATGAATTATTTTTTGAAATTAAAATATACCTACAAAGAATGTATTTTTTTTTAAACTAAGTACTTATTATTTATTATTTATTTCCTATACATAAATGTAAATTTATATATTTTTTGTTTATTATTTATATTGGAGGTACCTATTAGATCAAAGATTAAATTTTATTTTTCAAGTATAAATTTATAAAAATAAAAAACACAAAAGTAACGCATACGTTGTCCAAATAAATTTCTTATGGATGAAAATACCCAATAAAAAATAAAATACTAATATTAAAAGTAAAAATTAAAAAAAAAAAAAAAACTATAGTTGTTGACAGTTAATTAAAGTAGGCCATCCGACTTCATTGTGGTCTGTGGTGTTACGATCGTAATGTACGATACACGGTCTGCAGATGATTATTATCAATATATAGTACATAACCAACGTAATATACAACGGATGGGTTATAGGGCTGTTTTAATACGTATTATATGAGCGTCTCATATAACGTAAGTTGAAAAACTATTGATATCGTATGTACCTACTTGGACACTAATTTGTATATAGATTTGTATACATATATATAAATATATGTAGTTAAAAAATATATTTATATATACTGCTAGTAAAGTGTAGACCTTCCGGTTATAGTTTGGCAAATTCATAAACAAATATTATATTGTTTTATAAATACCATACGACCAAGAGAATATTACATATATGCGTTTGTATCAAGGGCGGATGCAGAAAAAAATTTCGGAGAGGGGGAGTTTTAAAAAAATAAGAATAATTATCGTCAAATACGTATTTAAAAATTTGGCACCCCTAAGCATATTAATTTATTAGCCCCTCCCCCCCCCAAAAAAAAAAAAATAAATAATAATATGGTAACACATATTATTTCGTCCATAATCGAGTTTCTTTAATATTAAAATATAACTTATAAATGAAAATCGTTTAATACTTTTTTTTAATTATCAAATTAAACAAATTATAACATAATAAAACATACTATTTTCTTTTTTATTGTTTTATTTTTTTTTCATTAGGTACATCATTTTTAAAATTAATTTTACTAAAATATTTTGCCGCCCCTGAGACTTGACGCCCCCGAACATGTGCCTACCCGTTCCCTCTCTAAATATGGGCCTAATTACCGTTATTTTAAAATAATTGACTATTGTCGATCGTTATCACATGACCATACAACACAAAATTTAGGAAAACCCGTCAATCATAATGTACCATTGTAAATAATATTAAATCGATTACGTATATTTACTTATTTTTACTTACTGATAATAAGCGACTTTTAAACACGCATTATTTTTATAAAGTATTGCCATCATAAAATTTCAAAAATTTGAGTTTTAAGTACCAGTAACTTTTAGAACGTTTGGAAAATTACAAATTATTACAAATTCACTTTTCTTAACAAAATATTTTTTTTCTAGCATTTTTTAATCGTATTTTGAACAATTCATTCTTTTTAAGGTGCATAAGGTAGGATAACTACGTTTTAAATTAATCATCCATTAATTTCGTGGGGGGTAAGGGTTGAACCCCCAAAATTCCTCCCTGCGTTCACCACTGGTTTGTATTAAATCTATCACATGTACTGCTCTGGGTATCAACTGTAAAACAAATAAGCCTGCACGTACAACGAATGTTCAATGCACCGATGCGTTCACTGATGACGGCAAGAATACATAAATGTTATATTTTTTTCTCATTTCCAGGTAGATATTAACAAGTATACAACATTATCGGCATTATGGTTGTTTGGAACATAATAGTTTTATTGCTGATACCGTTGTGTATGATTGCGTCGTGTGATCCAACATTTCAAAAGCCCTTGGATCCTTTCACGTTACTCAGATACGACAAACGGGCAGCCGAGGACCAACCACCGAGCAATGACAAGAACAACGTATCAGTTGAATTCGACGAGTATCCGGTACACGAGCTAAACATTGTGTTATACATACACACAAACGCACGTGATACACCTATGCACACATATTTAAACACATACCCGTGTATTAAGTCTAATACCATATATAGTACATCACGTGAATTTATGACCATCGGGCGATTGTAAACGGGACGAACTCTGCAGACGATAAAATGTTTAGCTCATTAATCGCGGAAGTATTTCGACGTAATGTCTCTGAATTTTATCGCCGGCCAGTCCTCATTTTGATATTAACCTCTCGGTGCTAAAACGTCATAGGTATATTCAACAAATTCTAATATATTATTATTGTGCACTTGCAGGGAAGTTCGAGAGAAAACGAAAAATAACACGGTGATCAGATAAAACTGCGGACACGTGGTGACGCAAATTACATGGTCAAATGTTTTTACTGCTTTTTATATCTCGTTTGATTCGTGAGACAAATGCACTATTCTAATTACATATTTATTTATTCAAAGGATATTTCGATTTTCAAGAGTTCGATTTCGTGAAAAATCTATCGCCGAGAAGTGTACATGTCCGCTAAGGGAAACACAGCAGCGCTTATTTATTCGTATAACAAAAACATTAATATACTGACACTTAAAGTAATCTTAGATCCATTGTATTATGAATTATTCAAATTAATCCCTAGGTCGATGATACCTCATTGAAAACAGTGTTTAACATATTTTAAACGCGATTGCAAATTAAATAAATCTACCGGGGAAAATATTCAACGTAAATAAAAAAAAACGTAATATACCATATACAACCTACGAGAATCTTGTCAAGAGGTTAGGCAAAAATAGGTCGGAAATGACTTAATACTATATCATAAAAATATGTACGGTTCAATTACTGTTCGAATATTTCGAGTATATTAGTAAGGTCAAATGTATTTACGATCCGCGATAAAAATGTATTAACTTTCCGAAGTGCAAAGCAGTGCAGACCACGTCCTTATCAATTAATGTATAGAGTCACTAAGTATTAAAACAAGGTTATTTACATAAATACATATAAACATATTTTTCGTATAAGACTGAAAATTCCCATTACTGGAATTTAATCGAAGCAAATTAATTATGACACTTTTTGTGTACCAGAAATAATAAACTTCATCTTTTTATTATCTTTTTATTTTCTTAAAACGATGTTTTATCACCGCAGGTAGTTGTACCAAAAAGGACAGCACTGTTACTAGACAGATTAATGGTGGCATTACAAAAAGCTGTAGATGGAAACAATTCTGGAAATATGAAAGGATACTATCCAGAAAGATTAATTCCAATTAGCGGAGCGTCTAGACCAAATCCTGGAGTAAGTAACTTAACAATTTTTATCAAACTGATAATTTCCATGTTTAACTTTACTAAGCTTACAAAAAATCATGTTTTATAAAATATAACTACAGATATGAATATATGTAGGTTTTGTTAAATGAAAAAAAAATAACATATTTTTATTGATAAATGTCAATAAATTTTTTGTAAAAGTAATTTCATATAATAAATATAATTTAAAATGAATAAAATAAGCTTCTAAATAAGACGTTTATTCATCGATTTTTATCTAAAAACTATACTTACAATAGTAATGCAACTTGTAAAAATATATTTTATTCAATTATTTATGTGCCATTTTAAAAAATTTGTTGAGCTATACTATTTTAGCTTATTTTCTCTAAACCAGGAATCAACTACGCAAACACATTTTCAATACATTTCTTCCTCAGAGCCATACGTATAGAATCGGTATTATGTCACCCGAATTTGATTAAAAACCAATTGTCGTATAAGGTTAAAATAATTCATAAAAAATGACGTGATAGCTGTTCTCTATATTTAGATATTAAATCAAAATATAATATTATCAAAATTGTAATTTTTTAAAAATCCATTCTTAAAATTAAATTTAGATCATTTTTAAATTGTGCATTTAATCAAAAATTAATATCTTTTATATGCAGTAACTATGTATTATAATAATATTTTAATTTAAAGAATAACCGTCATAAAAACGGTTGTAGAAATACAAGATTTTGTAACCGGGCGTAATAGATAGGCAATATAGGTACCGACATGTGTATATTCATAATAATTGTACTGCATTCATAACAATTTTAATTTCAACTACATTTCTGTTGAATTTATTTAGTTTTATATAAACATATCGATAAGAATTATTAAGTATATAAATAATTTATTAAGTATTTTTTACGATATCATTATAAATATATATTAATTAAAAATAAATAAATGTTCTACTTGGAGTACTATTATACAATACATGAACAAATTTACAACCGATTTTATTATGAAAAATTCCCATCATACGTTATAAACATTCAATACCTTATACCTGATGATTTTTCAACTCAAAACCGGTTGAAAACGATTGAAGATATTATATTATAATGTTTTAAATAAGAAATTTTATTATTTATTTATTTGATATATATTTTTTTCATTACTTTTAATTTATTATCAATTTCTCAAAATAAATATCAAAGTTTATAATGTATTTATAATGTTTATAATGTTATTATACATTACTGTAAATTAAAAAAAAAACAGAACATAGTTTTTAGTAATACGAGGCTCATTATCACTCTAACTAAAAACGACGCACTAAAAACCGTTATTAATTCAATTAATAAAATAAAAACTTTTTATTTTTGTGAAATGTAAATCACAATATTATAAGTAATCAAAAATTTTCTTAAACTATCTAATACGTTTGTTTCAGTAAAATCATTGACATATATTTAAAAAAAAATAAAAAAATATTATGTAGAAATAATAATTCATACTTTACGAAAAATGTCTTGTATAATATATGCCACGATCAAATAAATAACTCTTATAATTCAGTTACGCTAGATTTTTTTTTCGTTCAAATCATATGGTAAATAGCCATAGTATTATATAATCTCCCTCGACTGGAATACATAAATTTCATATTCCAAAAATGAAATTATACTCAGGAATGTATTTTGGATTATGTCAATATTCTATCATATAGTTCTATAAGATAATACTAATATTGTCATTTATTTTTTTTAAGAATCCACAATATAGTATATATGGATTTTAGCGGATTTGTCTTTTTTTGTTGCAATATGACACGAATCAAAATAAAAATGAATTCAATGGAACACATAACACTCGTAAACTTCATCCGATTGTAGGGGTGACTAGGCGAATAAGTAATAAATATATATTCTGAAAATCATTTAATTGTCTATATGTTTTCGAATAACCGAATAAATGGGAAAACTAAACCACAAAAAGTCATTAATCGCAAATAGTCAATTACGAAGAACACGGAAAAATCCAATTTTTATTCACTTTATCCGCGACCAATAATGTATACGCATATTTATATATAAATATAAAATATAAAACGAATTTTATTTAAATTATGCGTAACAAGTGATTGGGATTAAAAATTGTATGAAATATAGCGAATACAAACAGCGAGTAGTCTTTAGAGCTCTTCAATTCGCGTATACAGGATCTGATGTGTTCACGCAAAATTAACAATCGATTATAATATAACACTTATTATTTCGTCATAATAAAACATACAATTTTCTTTTTTTTATTGTTTTATTTTTTTTTCATTGGGTACATCATTTTTAAAATTATTATCCTAAAATATTTTGCCACCCCTGAGACTTGACGCCCGTGGACATGTGCCTACCCTACCACCCCCTAAATACGGGCCTGAGCAATATGTTATCCGGTGATGGTAAATTTTAAAGAAAGAATAATTACCTGTAGGGCTTGTAAGGTCATATGCCCGATATTATTTTTCACTATTAAAACTTAACTATTTCCGTAGATAATGATATATTTGTTATGTTTTTTTTACGAAATAAATTTAATTTATAGCAGATTTAAATATTGCGTTCTTTTTGAAACACCCTATACAATCAATTATAATCGCTATTCTAAAGTTCTTGAGAAACCATAATTATAATAGGAAGGTTTGGTCGATAAATGGGTTAGGTTAGGTTGGTGGTTGAGGTTTATTGTCAGTAAAATGTTAATAGTTTCTCTATAAATTAACTTCACTTTGCCACTAGTTATATAAATGTGTATTTTGATTTTGAGATGGATTTTAGATAATTTACCAAATATGGGCTTGAATAAGTAAAGTCGTAAATGCAATTTTGTTGATTAGATGTTTTTTAACCACGTCAGATGTTAATCAAAAGTTAGGCTCAAGTATTTGATTGTCACAGTGTTTGATATGGGTTCGGTATTTAGTGGAAGTTGACTGTGACGGGGAACAAAATTAGTGTGGACAGATTTATTTATATTAATTTTGATGCGCCACTGGGCAAGAATTTTTATTATTAATTAATTAATTCGTCTGATAGGAAAACAGCCTACTCAATTTTTTTCCGAACACAGCACGGTTATGCTTAACAACTTGCTAAAGATTACACGTATTTAGTGGTATACAGACATCGGGTATAATTGCATTTGTATCATATACGCGTAAAATAAACCCCCAACTGATTAGACAGTTTTGGACCGTGATATTCAAATAGCAATTGCTATTGCAATCAGCGATCAATTAAAATAGCAAATTAAAATCGCAATTGGAATCGTTTGAAATAAATTATATCAACAACAGTAGCCCATTCGCCGTTAAGAGGATATGTAGATGCATTTTTTTGAAACAATCAGACGACCGTGCTAGGGACATCACACTAAGGAGGAATAGTGGTACACGACTCCTGTCTGAGTACGAAGTAACGCAACCAAAAGTATAATGATTGATTTGCCTACGAAATTACATATCAGTATTATGCACGTAAATAAATCAATGACGATATAAAATATCCTGTTCCAAGATTCATCGGTGAAAATCTCAATCCACCAAGGATGTTTTGATATTTTTATTTTTTTGCGTGGCAATTTTTTTTTATTACGTATAATAATAATATACTAATAACAGTATATAGTAACGTGTATAATAATAATATTATATATACTCATATATAGTTTAGGGAAAATAAAAAAACAGGTAGGGGATACAATTTATATTTGTAATAAGTAAAACTAGGATACTTTCGCAGTAAAAAGAAATACACACACACACACACACATATATATATATATATATATATATATATATGAAATAAATTTCAATATATTGAAATTACAATAAAATGTTGCTCCTTTAAGTATATATATACTTACTTAAAGCTAGTAAAATTAGGTACTACATATAACCGCTTTTAGATTATTTCCATGCAATTTAAATATCGACACGAAAAACCGACATGTATTATAATACATCATATATATATATATATATATATATATATATATATATATCAGCTACTTAAACGATCACTTGCGGTTATAAATACTGTAGTATACACGTGTGCACAACAAATAAATTGTTTTTATGAATGGAACTTTTCGCATAATAACAATATTATAAACTGCTCAACGCTTTCATTCAAAGAATTAACGTTCAATGTACAGATGTTGTAATTGAAACATTCATCAGTAAACTCAAAAAAATAATTTTATTTCCAACCGTGAACTATAATTCTAAACGAAATAATACGACAGTGGTACTAAAAAATAATATTTACAGTGGTACTACTATTGTAAACTTGAACATCTTAATCCATATGTAAATTGGTCAATCAGAAAAATACTCAAAATGGTGCAAACTGAAATAATAACTATAACTATATGTTTTATATATGTGGACGAAGACCACAAAAGTTTTTTTGGTCTTGGAAAAGTACTGAGCTCAAAAACATTATCGACAAATTTGAAGATACAAATGTACATGACCCCGATGCGACCCATAATACCTGGAACATTGAAACATGGCCACTTAGGAAAGCAGAAGAAAGCAGAATAAAATTATTTGAAAGGAGAATCCTACGGAAAATCTACGGCCCATGCTTTGACATAAACATAGGTGAATGGCGTAAACGTCATAATAAAGAACTCGAGGAGCTATTCCAGAGACCGAACATCGCGAACGAAATCAAGAAAAGGAGATTAACCTTGGCAGGACATGCATGGCGGAGAGTAGGATCCATAGTCAGAACAATAATCGAAGAGACCCCTCGGAAGACCACGCTTACATTGGAAAGACTGTGTGAGACGCGGAAAGCATTGAACCAGAGATACCATGGAGAGTAGTAGCAGAAAATAGAGATAGATGGAGAGAAATTTGTTTGGCGGTATGGTCTCAATGACCGTAAACTAAAAAAAAAAAAATATGTTTTATATAATTAGATATAAAAATTGTTGACCAGAAACATGCTGTTTTGATCTATTTCTATGTAATACAATTGTATATAATATGTTTAATTTGGATTTATTTTTCTCGTCTGTTATATTATTTTAGATGGAACTGCAGAGACGAAATCAACAAAAAGGACGACTGTACTGGAGGTGTTATTTCAACGCCGTGTCCTGTTTCAAATAGAACCAATCAAATCTGTATACTATATTTTTTTGCATAAACAATGTCAGTTGAGAATATTATACCACCCTCATCTTTATACGCTTGTTTTTTTCATAAATTACACGAATACAACGATTATTTAATCAATATATTTTAATAATTACGGGAAATAAAGTACGGAACGATTTGATACAGTAATACACATTGCCATTATCACCGAATCTATTAAATTATATCGTAGATCGATTGCGTTATTTTGGGTAAATTATATTTGAGGTCTCAGATATTTGTATGATAAACATATGTGATGAAACACTTTTACATACCTGTATGCCACACAGTTTAAGAAGCAAAAAAATTAAAATTTGTTTTTATTTATTGAACGTTAAAACGTATATTTCTTAAATCCGTATTCAATAAAAATTGATATAGGAACGCAAATTATGCAATTTACTTCAATGGAAACTTTTACCTATTAAATATTTATTATATACACGATATTAATTTTATAAACAGTTATAGCGACTAGACGCTAAGTGTTAATTATATTTAAAGTGTAATCACTTATTAAATCTAGTGCATTTAGAACAGATTCAAAACGTTTTCAGTCAATCGTAATATTGAATAATATAAATAACGTCTAACAAAATATTATAATATTATAATACATACAACGTATAGCGTACAACTGATGTATGCTTCGAAAATGATTAACCTACAAATGTACTATAATTATGTGTTATAGTTAAACTTGTTGCTGAATAAAAAAAAAACCTTAAATACTATATCCCATATAAATTATAATAAAAATGATGTAATTGAATAAATAATAAAACTAAAATTATAATTCTTTAACTATATACAATTATAAGTATTCAACTCAAAAGAATTTCATCAGTACCACACCAACAATTTAGAATCATATAATTGTTAAATTTCAAAATACGGCATACAGATAACTTTCAATCACACTTTAACCATATGAATAATTTTCAACTTGATATGGTTAAAAATGAATAATAAGTGGTTAACCGGTTAATATTATATTTCCAAAGTACATATTAATAAAAATGGGCATGAAAAATATTATGAATTATAAGTATTTATATATTATTACGTATTCTCCAACTAAAACATGTTTGTCAAACTAATTTTATTAAATTAACACATCAATTCGTGATAATTTGACGTAACTAAATTCTCGAAATGTTTACACCTATTTATTCACTTTATTCACCTGGATTAAAGAAATGAAAAGTAGATATTTTTTTCCTTCAATGTAAACAATAGATCATTCTTTGTTTAATTAGAGAGTATTTAGAATTTCATCGTTTGTTCATTTCAATATACCCTAATGAAGCATAGCATGGTCCATGTACTGCTGTATAAGTTTATGTACATCGATAAAAGTATACATTTTTATAGCAGTTCTCGATGCTAAATTGATTTTTATCATCAATAATTTATAGGTAAATATAATACTATCGTACATTATATTTATAGTTTTCGTTTTAATATTTAAATTAAATTTAGAAAAAAAATATCTGTTTTCGGGGAAGGATTAATTTTTTGAATAGTGACTTCGTAAACACCGGACATCAGATACACTCTTCTAGAGACAGCTGGGGTATAAAAAGCGTATCACTATCTTATATTTACACGTAACATTTTTAGTATTTGAAAAAATATATATATTGAGCTAAGCTCGATGTAATATAATTTTAGATTATCGATTTTATGTAGGTATTTGTTAAGTTCGAAAAGAATTCTGTCACGCTTTTATCCCGGGATTGGGACTGTCAGCAGTATAAGTCTTTGTCGTTGCGGTGGTTTCGTAATTACTTCTTTAAATTAAACTATGCAGGAATATCAACGTTAAATAAAAAATAAAAATAGAACCAGACATTACAATTTCATTTTTATGAATACAACCAAACAGTACAACTCCATCCAGTTTTAAATAAAATGAACCTACTACGTACACTCGAGTACATATTTAATGTAATTTTATACATATTGGGATGGCAATAACAAAATTATAATAGTTATCAGTGCCAACACTTTTTCATTATTAGAAAATAAATAATATGTAAATAAACTGCAAATTTTAATATTTTAATTTTTGAAGTAAACATAATGTTTTATACTCTTGCAATAAAATAAATGGTACACGGTTAATAGTGTAACTTGTTCGAATGATATGAGTCACCCAAAATATTACATGAATAAACTTTGAACTATTTTAAAATGACAGAATATTTTCAAATCCAGATATCTTCGAATCTCGCTAAATTTTTTTTTTTTTTAATTGTTCATTTTCAAAAACTATACTTAAGAAACAAACAGTGTACGATACAATGTAAATTAGTAACATTGATGGGAATTACGGATTTAAAATCCCTCACGGAACCAATAAATATATCGTTATATATATAAATATCGTTAGAAAATATTATTTTTACTTAAAAAAAAGTTACTACTCAAAATAATTAGTGTTTCAATCCGATAAATTTCCAGAGAATTTCTGAAAAACATTACTGGGTGGTTCTAAAAACTACCCTATAGCGTATTATTCGGAATTTAGATACACAAAGAAACTATGCAAGACTTAGTTAAGTACCTACGTACCTACCTAGATGTTTTAAGTTATTTCTTGTAAAATAAATACAATTAAGTTCCGTACAGTTTAAGTTATTCTACAAGGGATAAATAAAGAGGAAACAACTATATTACATTCATGAATACAAACAAAGTATCTCTATACGCATTGTTTTTTATTATAATAATGAAGTATACCTAAATGTTTATATATATTTAAACATTTAGGTATACTATATAATATACAAGATAACAAAATTAATTAGTAAGTAAATACCACAAAGAATATGGACTGTATTTCTTTGTTTTGATAGTAAAAATTTAAATTTGATGCTTTTGGTATTCGCTATGCGGAATGCAAATAAAGCTATGAATACACACAACAGTATCATTAAAATCATTAAAATCTACAGAAACTGAATCTAAACACATTTCTCTACGCTTTTCTCCTGTTTTCACAGACCCATTCGTTGTCACTCCTGTATTAGTACACATAATTGTTATCGGCCAAACCAATTACAGCTTGCAAAAGGATTTCCGTGAAACAAAGTACCTATCTTAATTTAGTCACTAGTGAAACAATCAATCGCGGCTGCCGTGGAAAAAGTTATTATTTCCGCGATACACTTGAGCACAATCCAACTGGCGCTTAGTAAGCTACCTATATGTCTTAAATCTATATATAAATCACGAAAGTAACCACCAGATGTGCACAATATAATAGATTGAAGATAGTATATGATGCTGAAATCCAAAAATCCACCTGACCGCCTTGTCCGTAATGGCTCAATAAGCCTCGGTACAAATACGAAAAAATATATTACTACCGGGTTTTTTAGTGGTACAATTACGTACATTACGACCAAGGGTACGAGTGGTCCTCACAGATTCTTGACATCGCTCCTTACGCAACACATACGTGGTTCGTATTTTCAAATAATATACAACAGCATTTCAAAAAGGGGGAGAGAAAGTTTTTAGAAGCTTGTTCCACCAAAAAGTAATAAAAAACGAATATTGCAATGCCGAATACTCAGTACCATAGTGCTCAATTTTAATTAAGCATTGATCAATATATATGTTCTTTGGTCTTAGTAGAGATTATAACATACAATTATTACATATCAGTATTACATATGAATAGTAGTTACTTTCTTTTATAATAATATACTTATCAGGCCAAATTTTATTCAAGTACATAATCCAAGATGAAAAAACAATTAATACATGATAAGTAATCTTTATATCAATACTACAATTATATGATCAATGAATTTCATTTTAATAATAACTAGTAATTGTGATGATTAGTTCTTAAGGAAATTTTTAAAGGAAAATAAAATATAAAACACCAGTATTAATAAAAATAAAATAATTATAAATAATAAATTTATTAATATTCAACCCTGAACATTATATTATTATTATACAATTTTCAAAATACATTACAAAGTTTGCACACAAAATAATCAAAGGACAGTAGTGGTGAAAAAATAATGTATACAGAATGTAAATAATAAAATTAGTAGATGATCTGTGTTCGTTTATATAATTATATAAACAAAAACACATACACACAAAAAAATTTATAAAAAATTTAACTAAAACGGTTTAATTTGATTATTTAAAAAAATTAGCATAAAATGTGGCTGTATTTAATTCAAATGTATATTAATTAATAATTTTAATACATCATTGGTTTGAGATAATACAAATATAACCTAAAAAAAAAAAAAATGTAATAATCAGTATATTTTTATACTAGATATTTGACAGCAGTTGATTTTTTCACAATTATATAAGAACTATATAAAATAAAACCCAACAATTTAAATCAACTAATTGAAAAAAAAAATACTGATGTATATTATATTTTCTATAAATAAGCAATTTAATGCAGAACTGGTAACTGTAAAAATTAAGTAAACATTAATGGGAAAGAGAATTTAAATAATAGCCACGTAATTAAAATTTTGTTACGTGTTAATAACTCTTATTTATAAGTAATATATTATGTACAATTGATTGAAAACACTTAATTGATTTCAAATTAAGTTATTTCATGTCACTATTAACACCAGCCAGATCCTAAGAGAAATAATTAATTTGTAACAAAAAAATAATAATAACATAGAGTAACGCATCATTTGTTTTAAAATTAAAATAGGCTAAAATGTTAAAAAAAAAAAAAATATAAAATTAATAGACGAGTCCAATTATATTACCTTTAAAAGGTCTTAATACATAGATGATTATTTCATTCCCAATAAAAAAAACCCTTTATTTTTGGGTCTCTTCAATTTAATATGTACCGTGTCCCTATATCTGTTAAAACAGATGAAATATAATTTTAAATTACAAATAATTTACGGAATATTTTTCAATTTGGTCGAAAAAACCCGGAAAAATGTTTAAAACAAATAGAAGATATAACACTAAAAGCATAACAAAATATTATCAACATTTTTTAGACTTAACATTACATTATAATGATATAAAACATTTTATTTAGTATAATCTGTTAAAAAAAACATAGAGGACACAAGAAAAAATGAGACCCAAACGGTTACAATCTATTATTTTATATAGCATTTTTACTTCACAGCCTGGAAAATATAAAATTTTTTCCATCTAATGTTAACATTTTTTTTATACACACACATATATATATATATAAATATGAATATGAATATAAATATATATATAAATATTTGTATTTTTCTTGTTTTTTATTTAATAACACAGTTTTTCTAAACATAATCTATTCTTAAAATATAATTATTATAATGTAATTAATTTATGGGGGAAAATCTGTTTAGTGTTAACCGGCCACTATATAATTATTTTCTTTTAATTGAAACGCAAAAAAAAAAAAAAAAAAAATTGGAAACAATAATTTTAATAATGTATTAAACATAACTAACGACGTCCACTTCCCCAACTTGGAAGATTGGCTTTTTCAGAAGTGGTATTATTTGCAGATGTTGCAATACCAGCAAATGATGGAAAATCTCTAGTACTATTAGTATCAGGATGAGCTTTTTCCCAAGGTGCTCCATTGCCCATAACAAATCCAGCACTACCTTGTTGCGAGCTATGATTACCATTGGGAACAGATTTGTTGTCAGGTTTAGGTTGTAAATTAGCTTTAGCTTCATTTTCCAAAAGATCAACCAACTAAATAAAAAGAAAAAAAATTGTAATACATACATACATATATATATATATATATATATATATATATATATTAAATTAATTAAATCTAATTAAAATTAGAATTAAATTTATTAGTTAATTTTTAATAATTATTCAAATAATTGAGAAACAAATCAAATTACATAATCTTGTTGAATCATTTCTAAATCATCAATACAATCCAAGACATCATCTTGAGTGGCATCTTCACGAGCATAAACAGTAACTAAATCTGGATTATTACTGTCAGACTTGGAAAACCTAATATCCACATGATATTTGTCCATAATTTGTGATATGTTACGCCCTCGGAAACCAATTAATCTTGAATGAATTCTACTGTCTATGTAAATTTCTTCTTTATATACATTTCTCTGATTCAAATAAGATAAGAATATTTATAAGACGATTTATTTATCATATACGTTATCACTATAATAAGGTTTAAAAAACTAACAAGTTTATCAACCATTTCTTGAATTTCATCTCTAGCCAATTCAGCTTTTTGCTGGTAGCCAACAACTGTCACAATGTTTTCATTATTACCTTCACCTCTTCTAGGTAAATTCACCTGAACACCATATTTGTTACGTAAATTACGAACGGTTTCTCCTTTTTTACCAATAATCATAGGATGGAATTCTGGTTCAATAATCATCTACAAATATTTAAATAATTACAATCCATTATATACATGGTTTTTTTTATTTTCAACATTATTAATCAATAATTTTATTTCGCTGCATAATATGAAAAATACTTCAACTTAAAATAGTATAATTACCTGAATTTCATATGAACGTAGTTGCCTGTCTTCTTTATCAGCATCATATAGCTTCATTTCTTCTTTTATGGCTTCAACTACTTCATCAATATCTTTTTGTACCCCAGTTATCTGAATAACAAGAAACAAATTTTTAAACATAACATAAAATATAATAATTATATTCAAATAATTTTATATTATATTAGCAATACCTTTATAATATCAGCATTTTGTTCTTGATTGGGAACTTTAATCTGAACGTTGTAATCTTCACTAAGTTTTCGAATCGTAGCACCTTTGGTACCAATTAATGATCTATGATACTCAGATGGTACATCTAACTACAATCAATTTTGAAATAATTAATATATATATATATATATTTAACTCAAAAATATGTAGCTCACGTCAATAGTTTTTGGTATATTGTCAATTAATATTTGTTTAGCAGTTTCACAGTGTTCAGGTTTTCCAAAAATTGTAACAATATCATTTACACTAGGAGCACGATTTTCATCAGCATCTTCTCCAATAATATCTTCTTGTTCCCGATTATACTGATCTTCTATTATTTATAATATATTAATACAATTATTTAGTAAATTAATTTGTATAAAAGATCAAATAGAATTTTAAAACTTATAAATAATTTAAACTAAATTAAGTAACCTATTCTACAATTAGTTAATTATAATTAAATTTAGTATAAAATAATTATAACAATATTAATAACAATATGACACCAGAAAATGCTCATAGATTTTGAATGAGGAATTAAGAACTTTCATTATCCCTTCGCTCAATTAATTGCAAATAAGTTCATGTTTAAACCATAAAAATAAAAAAAAATAAAAATCATAAATTGAATACAACCAAAACCAAAGACATATATAAAAGGAAAGATCAGCAAGACTCGAAGCAAACCATCATATATAGAACAGGGATGGCGAACCTTTTTTAGTTCAAATGCCAAATTTTTCCTTTTTAGGTTTTGAAAATCGTTCACGTGCCCGAAGAAAATTATATTTTCTAAGACTAAATATAAAATTACAGATTTATTACATTGTTTTTAACAAATTTTAGTCATTATTAGTAGAAACACAAGCAGAAATGGTTTAATTAGTCAAAACGTTTCTTCTCTTCGATTTAATTAAATTTGTTATGGCCAATAAGCTTTCACAAACATAAGTTGACGAAAAATATGAAAGCATAAGGAATATTGTCATTTTAAAAAGTATACAATTTGTTTATTTTAATTTCTTACAATCAACATTTTATAAATAGTATATATATTTTTTTTTTTTTTTTACAATTTTTAATAATTTCAATTTTTTGCGCATGCCATTTTTAGCACCTGTGCCATAGGTTCGCCACCCCTGATATAGAATGAAAAATATGCAAACATTTTTGTAATCTTATTTTACGTTATAAGTGTTTAGAAAAATATTATACTACATAATAATTACAGTAATTATTATAAATTATATATCGAAATAACTATAGCAAAATAATTTAATAAATATTTACTTTTATATATGTAAAAAATGTTAACCTACGGGATTATTTTTAACATTATTTTTCGGAACATTGCCTGGAGAGGAGCTACGTGTACCATTTTTGGTACACTTAAATACAATTTAAACACAGAAAATATTTCATAGCCCACCAAGCAAATACATTTTCAATCAGCCTTTTGATATCTTATAAACTACATTTTTTAAGTAAAAAAATTTAAAAAATAAAACAATAATAATTTTTAATAATGTATTTATTTATATTAATATAAATTAAATGTTATTATTAATGAATTATTACTTAAGATTATTTTAATTTGATATTATGGTTTGATGAAAAGCATTGGTAGACAATAATATTGTACACATATTTCACATTTAATGCACCATATTTTTACAATTAATAATACAAAATAATTATCAGTAATGACACCGTACTTAATGAGTTATCAAAAATAGTATTATTTATAGTTACTATTAAACAATATTACTGAACTAACAAAATTATTATTAATAATTAAATTATATTTCGATCTGACATTCCTAGGGGGCATGTATCATATTTGGTTCATAATTGAAAATCATTAATTTTGATATAAAATCACGTTTTATAATCACATAATAAACTAAAATAAAAATATCAAATTTTCTCATAAAATTTTAGGTTCGTAGAAAATAAGGCATATTTGCTATTTTTTGGATTACCTCAAATGGCAAATGAACCAAGTACCAAAAATGGTACATATAACGGTCAACCGTTAAATACATTTTAATATTTCTAAACAGTGAAATTCAAAACTCTAATAATAAACCTATCGACTTTCTCTCATAATTCCTTTTCACATTTAAAAGGTTTACTATAATATAATAACTTAACATCCATTTAATCTGCCCTTCCTTTCCCATATTCATACTTAACTACCATCCAAAATGGCATATATGGGGTATTCTTCCTTACCTAACCTTAATTAATTCTTTATTTACATAATCCAATACAACCTTATTTAACTTAATTGCAATAGTTTTGTAGGATAAAAACAAAAATAAAAATTGTGTCTTATTATATTTATCATGCAACATGATTTAATAGACTGATGTAAAATAAAATGTATTCTTATCTTAAATCAATTTAAATGTAATAAAATAATACCGGGTGGTCTTTCAGGGAACTTAATCCAAACATCTAAATCTCTTCTCATGCCTTCCAATAAATCACGGTTTCTCATCAAAACTCTGTGCATCCTTTGAGGAATAATAACTTCAACTGTAATACGTTGTTCCTAAAGTCAAAAATATTAATTTATAGTTTATCAATAAAATCAATACATTTTATTATTATATTTACCAAGTCAGTAACAATATTATTGATTTTATTTTTGACTTTTTCAACATAATCCTTGTGGCCTTTAATCAAAACTTCACTAGAATTGGAATTAACTTGTGGGAATGTAACAGTTACCCCATTATATTCTGCACTTATTTGATTTATGACTTCAGCACGGCGAGCAACAAAATGACGATGATGTTTTGGAGGAACATTCATAGTAATTTCAATTATGTTTTCCTAAAATATATTAAAATATTACACCACTAATATTAATTGAAAATTACTTAATTTACAAGTGTATTTATGTAATAACTATTAGCTTTAGTTTTTATTCATAAATGTCGATTTTCTCATAACTTGACATAGATATATTTAAAAAGTTAATACTAACCAAGTCTTTAACAATTTCTTCAATTTTACGTTTTGCCTCTTCAGCATTTGTTTTATCACCTTTTATGACAACAACACTATCATTAGATGCTAGTTTAGGGAATGTTATTGATACTCCATTGCAATCATCAATAATTCGATTGATAATTTCACCACGTCTAGCAACAAAATGACGATGATACTTTGGATCTACGTTAACTTCAACTTGAATAGTATTTTCCTGAATCAAAAATTACTAATTATTACTACAAAATAATAACTACATCATGAAGTTAACCAATATATGAATACTTTTATATAAATTTTGCCAGAATATATATAAGAATGATTGTTAGTTGAAAATGAAGAAAAAAAATTAATACTTTTGACTTCTCACATCCTCATTTTGTTCATTATAATAAGTAAGAAATTTGAGTTAAATTTAGTCTTGATTACTAACTCTTTTCACATGCCGCCAAGGGGTTGAAAAATTGCATAATACAGTTAGTTAGTCATCTTTTAAATATAATCAATAAACTATTGAACTTATCATAAAAATGTACACAACTTAAATTATAAATATTAGTATTTTTAATAAAAAAATGATCGTATAATATTTCATTTATTTTAAAAAATTAACTTATTTACAGGTTTTTAAGTATATGGGAATAACGGCTGATGATGCAATAAAATATCTCAAGTTAGAATGATAAGAAACTAAATTTTCTAAAATAAATTAATAAGTATAAATTCTATTGCATTGATTGTTTTATTGCAAGTCAGGTAAACATAAGAAAATTAAAAATATATATGCAATATTAATACGAGTAAGTTAATTCAATAGTTTCAATGATAATACAATTTAGATGCCATTAGTTATAGGAGGGAGGGGAGAGTTAAATATTTTAAATTTCTCACCTTATTAGTTTTTTTCAATACTATATAAAAGTTATACAAATTAAAATATGTGATAATAAATCACTCTCTTCATGGGCCACAAGAGTGTTGAATATTGTCAAACAGGGTAATTTTAAGATATTTTTGATTTACTTCAAAATACATTGCATAAAGCATAAAATTGTAAAGAAATAACGTCCGCATTATTTTTCATGTATTATAAATACATCTCAACCAATTTAAACACAATTAGTATCATTGAAAAAAAAAATTGAACTACTCATAATACAAACTTCACCTATCATGGGGGTCCATGCGACCCCGAGGTAAAAGAATCATTTATTTAATTACCATCACGTAAAATGTCCAATCAAAATAACTCGTTGTTGCGCTTGCCGCAACAAAAGAAGCAAGACAAAATCAAACCGATAACCCCAATAACCATTGTAAATCGAAATCAAATCATTAAACAAAATGAAATATTAAACATCAACCCAAATGATTTATTATCCATTGATAAGACTTTAGTAACGTATCCAAATTTCCAAAAGCGCCAGCACACTTCAATCACTTAATTCATCTCCCACAACCAAAGTAATCTGTCAGGTTAGTTCACAACCCAAAATCGATATGCCACACTTTCCGAAAAGTTAGATACCTTAGGAACTCAGGAAATGGTAACTGAAAATATATCTGATTTACCTAATAGTAAACCTCAATTACCTACTTCAGTATTTATCAAATCAAATGTAAACTACAAAAATTTCTGCGATACTATGAAATTAACAATAGGTTCTAAAGAATTATTTTGTAAAAGTCTTACCAATAACCTAAAACTTCAAATGAAAACATCCGATTCATTCAGAAGAGTAATTAAATTATTCAAAGAAAAAGAAATTGATTTCCACACCTACCAAACTAAACAAGAAAACCCATACAGAATAATTTTCCAGAACTTACATCATACCACATCTATTGATCTTATAATCCAAGAATTAAGTGACAACGGAGTCACTGCAAGACAAATCGTAAATATAAAAAATAAAATAATAAAACTACCATTTCCTCTAATTTTCATAGGCTTGGAACTGGATCACAATAACAATGAAATATTTAAATTCAATTCAATATTATGATACACCAAAATCAAAGTAGAAGAACCACACCCACGACGTCAAATAATTAAATTCAATGTCTCAGATGCCAAGATTTTGGGCACTCTAGAACATATTGTAATCACGTTCCTCAATGTGTAAAATGTGGTAATAATCACATTACCTCTGGTCTACAACCTGCCGATCAACCACCCAAATGTGCACTATGTGAAGGTCAACACCCTGCAAGTTATTGAGAATGCATTGATTACAAAAATCTCCAACAAAGACACCAGAATCATCAAAAAAAATTAAATGATTGATATTTAACAATCTGATATTAAATAATTAAATAGCAATAACCCCAACTTTGTTTAAGAGACCCACAGTACCAACCTAAATGATAATAACAATATTAATAGCTAACTCCACGCACAATCTTACTCAAACGCCACCCGTCAATCCAACAATTCAAATATCAATGAACAAAACCCAAACGATTTAATTAAACAACTCAATGCATTCCTAAACAATTTCAAATTATTCATCAATCCACTTATTTCACTCCTAACAACGGTTATCAACAAACTCTTAATACAAAACAATGAATAACTTTAATCAAACCAATCCCTCATTGAATATTTCACTCTGGAACACAAACAGCGTCAATCTACACAACACATACTTCTCAACTAAATAAACGAAAAAAAAACCTTGACATAACTATGATAGTTGAAACTCATTTCACATCAAATACCAATTTTAAATTATACGGCTTTACTAATCACTTAACAAATCACCCTGATAACACAGCTCACGCCAGTTCCTCAATTGTAGTATCCTCAAAAATACATCACTATTTATTACCACTGTTTCATGAACAAGAAATTCAAGCGACAAACATGCAAATAAACATCAATAGTATTTCAATTACTTTATCTTCAATATATTGCCCTCCAAACCACAACATAAATCATGAACAATTAAATTCACTTTTCAACTCTCTAGGTAATGCATTTGTAACTGGTAACTGGTGACAACTACAACGCAAAACATAACATCTGGGGCTGCAGGGCCGAAAATCAAAGAGGGAAAACACTTTTTAAAACCATATCCGAAAACCATTATTCTATTATTTCTCCTCCCAGCCTAACTTATTAGCCTACACATTCAAATAGATATCCAGGCATACTAGACTATTTTGTAACCAAATTACCAAATCATTTAACTGCTATAACATATAATATTTGCAATCTTTCTAATAACCATTCACCAGTAATACTAACTCTAGGAGATAACCCAATTCAAAACATTAAACCTTCACTTACAGACAAACCAAATTCAAAGTACACTTAGACACTACCATTAAATAAATCATTTAAAACGAATAACGAAATAGAAAGCGCAGCTATACTATTGATTAAAACAATCTAACAATCAGCAAAAATCAGTTCTTACTCTAATACAAATCATTCTCTCAATACAAATAATAAATTAGCTCAAAACATTTAACAATTAATAGCAAAAATCAGAGCTTGCTAGCAATATTTCAGATACCCTAATGATGAGCAACAGCTTAACCATACAACAAATTTACTAAAAAGTAAAATAAAACAATTCAAATTAGAACAGTATCAATCATACCTGAAAAACTTAAATTCACAAAATGGTTCACTATAGAGAGCAACAAAAAATTTAACTAAAACTAGAGAAAATATACCCCCACTTTGAATAATGATGATATATATATAATAACAGACGAACAGAAAGCAAATGCTTTCCCCAATCAACTTCATAAGATCTTTAAACCCCACATAGATATCATCGATAATAATGCTCACCTCAATGATATACACAATTTTCTTGAAAGCCTCTTTCCAATGTCTCTTCCCACAAAATTGAATATGCCACAAACAAATTACCAATTGGTAAATATCTCGGAAACGACTTAATAACAAATAAAATATTAAAAAATATTACAAAAAAAAATGTATACTGTTTCTAACATATATCTATAATGGAATGCTAAGACTGTCTTATTTTCTTTTGTTTTTGAAATCAACAGTAATTATTTTAATTCACAAGCCTGGCAAGCCCAAACACCTATATACCTCGTACAGACCAATCAGCCTACTCCCTACACTAAGAAAACTTTTTGAAAAACAACATTAGATAAGCACCTCATACAAAGAATCCATTTAAAAATAAAAAGACAAGCAGTAAATAAAAGACTTCACCAACTTTGTCCATTACTAGAATTCAAATTAAACCTAAAAACAAAGTTATTAATTTACAAGACAATAATAAGACCCATCTAGTCTGATGAAATCCAAATTTGGGGACCAGTCAACCCTTCCAACATCCATCCAATACAAGCCCACTAAAACATGACTTTTTAAATAGTTACAGGCACACCATGGTACATCACCAATGCTTCCCTTCATAAAGATTTTAACATTACAACAGTAAGAACTTACAAAGAACTTGCAATTAAATACTATAAACGATTCCATTCTAAACTCAATACCCACACAAACCCCCTTTAAAACATATATCCTCACTCACCCCACCTGAAAACTCAGAGAACTGGTCCCATGACCTATTGTAACAAGAATACAATATCCTTAACCAAAATATAATTTGATTAAACACAATTTACGAAGGTGTTGCCAATGGGTCTCTTCCCCAATCATGTCAATTATTATATTTGTATTATCATATTTACTTATTGTTATGATTTGTACAGATTATAAATATTATTTAAATATATAATAAAAAAAATTAAAAAAAAAATGTTGCTCATTTAAATTATTTTATCTTAAGTTATTCGTCTCATATGAATTCATAATATAAAAAAAACTTTGAACTAGTGAATACAACAATATATGTCAATACATATAGTAATATAGTAATCAGACTGATAAGTTTAACACATGAAATTATATTAAATTTTACATACCAAAACTTTTACATGTTCTAGAAGTCTTTGTTTGGCAAGAGCAACATTAGCTTTGCTACCTTTCAACACGACTTTATCTCCAGCACCAGGTTTAGGAAACGAAATTTTAACACCGCCACATTCTTCTTCCAATTTATGTAAAAATTCACCTCTTTTAGCCACAAAACTTTTATGATATTTTTCATTAATTTCTACACGTTCTTCAATAACATTACTAATATCTGTTATCATAACTTCAAATTCTGCCTTTGCCTTATCAACGTTTTCTTTTTTGCCAACAATAGTTATATTTTCATTAGTGGAATCAGTTTCTGGTGGGAAAATTATTCTGGTATTAGTTAAATCCCGGATCTAAAAACCAAGAATAAAATTATAAAATAATTCATTACATATTTTATTAATTCAACAACATACCCTTTTAACATTGGCTCGTTTTTTTCCAATTAAATATTTGTGAAACTCTGGCTTCACTTTCAAATCAATAACTGAGTTATGAACTTCATCAACCATTGTTTGAATTTGTGTAATAGCATTATCAACATCATCTTCAGGTCCTTTGATAACTATAGTCTGTAAATTAAAATTAGCTTAATAAAATAATAAAATTACCTATTAAGGATATAAATAAAATATTTAGAAGTCAGCTGGCAAAATGTTTACAGTTATTTAAAAAATTAAAAATAAGTGATAGTTCTATCAAGTATGCTGAGAGAGAGAGAGAGAGAGAGAGAGAGAGCAAATTTCAGATCAGCTTTAGGTTTCTGGTTTGATTCATGGTCTGACAGCTTATATGTTTTGACCTTTCTCTTATGTCTTATAATAACTAATAAAATCAAATATGTAACTGAGAATAAATTTCTCTAACATTTTAACTAAAGGTAAATTAAAAATAAATATTATACCTTATTATAAAAAGCTTAACCCAGAAATTATTAATCAAATATTTTAGAAGAATAAAATAAATTGGATACTTGAAAATACATAAAGCTTGATATAAATAGCACATAAATATGTTTAGTCAAATTAACTTAAGGAAAACCCAGAGTCTGTTATATACACTGACTGTGCAAATTAATAGATATTAAAAGCTGCTTAAAGCATACAACTCCTTCAACGATCTTTTTTTCAATGATTATTGTAAAATAACCACAATTCGAAATATATATAAGTAAGACCTATCGTTTACTAGATGAATAAAACCAATACTTAAAATTTAATAATTAATTAATTGAATAAATTGTTGTTTTAAATTTATAAATTTAATTCATTATATTATACTTACATTATCTCCTTTAACAGTTGGTAATTTTAATGTCACATTACCACCACAATCTTCTTTTATAGATTGAATGAACTTATTCCCAAGATTTACAATGACATTTCTAACTTTGACATTTCCTAGCACAATTTCCTTAGTTACAATATCACCCTAAAAATAAAAGATAAACAGATTAATAATAAAATTTGAAAAAAAAAAATTAACATACCATTTCATTTTGTATTTTTTTAATCATATCACAAGCAATTAAAACTTTTTCTTTATTTCCCATGACTTTGATAGTATCACTATCTTCACCTTCACGTGGTAAATCAATTCTTGTATCGGTTTCTTCTCTAATCTAATATATTACAATATATAAATAATATTTCATGAGGTTAAATCATAAAAGATATAATACCTTTTTAATATTAGCTCCTCCCTTTCCAACGACAAGTTTATGAAATTGTTTAAAAACAGGAATTTCCAACACATAGTTAGCTTCATCCAACTCTTTAGCCAATTTAGCTAATGATTTAAATGCTTTATTTACATCATCATTCAAACCTCGTATTTTCACTAAATTACTTCTAGCCTCGACTAAAATTTAAGTAAAATAATATTTATTAGTAAACAAAATACAAGTATATTAACTTATATAACAATACATATATATTGATACTAATAACCTGAACTGGGAAATGTAATTTGAACATTAAAGGTTTCCTGAAGTTCTCTAACTTTTTCACCCTTTACCCCAATTATAGCTCGATGATGACGTTGATCAATTGATATTTCTTTTTCAACTTCATTCTCTAACTTATATATCATTTCTTCTAATTCCTAATTATAATTAAAATGTATTAGATAATCATAAAAAAAACTTCAAATTCTCCATTAGCATTGTTATAATATTTAATAATAATCATACACTTTTGGCCAATTCTACTCCATCTTTTCGTCCTTCAATACGAATAATATTAGAATTATTATCAGACTCGGAAATATTGATTATAACACCATTATCATTTTTAACACGATTAACTAAAAAATAAAATAAATAAATAATGAATTAGGTAATATATAATAATTTATTCTATTAACAAAATTAAAATGAACTTGCTATTGCTTCCATTTTTTCCAATTATATGCTTAAAGAACTTTGGATCAACTACAAGTTCTGTAGAAACATAGCATTCGATAGCTTTTTTTAATGATTCAATTACTTTAGATATCATATTAGTTGGACCTTCAACAATTATCTTATTGTCATCAGAAAATTCTACGTGTACCTTTTAAACATAAGATTTCATAAGATAGTTAAAATTCTTCTTCCTTTATGCATTTAAAAATTATAAAATTACAAACCTTCTCGTTATCCTCTATCAACTCCCTTAAATTGGAACCATTTTTTCCAATCAAAAACCTATGCATCCACCCGGGACACTCAATTGTTTCAGCAGTCATACTATTGGCTTTTTCATACAATTTTGTTAACCCTACAATGGAATTTTTAATTAATGTTTAACAAAACCAGAATATTATTAAATAAATTAATCTACCAGTGCCCAAATCCTTATACAAGCCTCTTAGAGTAACTGTTTCTTTGTCAGAATCTTGTTGAGGCATCTCTACACTAACGTTTGTTTCCAATAATATATCCTGGATACCACTTCCTTTTTGTGCCATTAGATACTTATGTTTCTGTTTTGGTATCTCTACAAACACAGTTGCTGATTCCTTTTCCTATAATATAAATTTTAAAATTCAAATTAAATCAATAATAATCTAAGATATTAATCAAATTATTAATATCAAACATTAATTATACAATACATTAAGAACAATACATAAAATTTTCTAAATATCTATTTCCATTCATCTTAATATTAAATATAATCTCTCAAAGTGTTATACATTTCAATGAATAACGACAAACATTCAGGGCATAATTAAAATAATTAATAATTGGATTAAAATACATATTGATATATACCATAATTGCATAAATATTTTTTATTTTTTCAATGGCCATTTGAACTCCTTCTTTATCTCCAGCAATTGTTATCTCATCTCTGTTGACAGATGGCGGAGGAACATGAATCTTAACACCGGTTTCTTTCATAAGATTATTAAGTTTTTCATTGTGACCACCAGTGATGAAAGGATGGAAAATTTTTGGAATTTCAATCTTTTCAAACGCTTTTTTGGACTATAAAACAATGTCATTAGTAAGCAAATACAAATTTAATGATTAATAAAAAACAAAAACTAACCAACTCATCAGAAATCATGCGGATTTCTTGGACTGCTTTTTCAACAGCATCTCTTGTTCCAGTAACATTGATAATATCTGATGTATCTTGAATGCTCGGCATTTGAATACGTGCACCAGTACGCTGTTCAATTTCCTTACGACGAGCTCCTTGTTTACCCATTACTTGACAGTGATGTTCTTTTGGAACAGGAACAGCACTAGTAGCCTGAAATTGTAAAATACCATAAATATTTTAGTTAATATTGCTCATGAAAAAAATGTCTTAATAACAACTTATTCATAAAAAAAACTATAAAAGAAATTGAACTTTTAAGCAAATAGAACCTCAATTCAATAAAACATTGACTTTTTATTTCTCATCAATAAAAAATTATTATTAAAATTAGTAATAAAATAATTTAAGTAGTAAATTACAAAAATAATTTTTTAAATATTTATAAATATATATATTTCTATAAAATTAAAAATTTTATTTGTTCATACATTTTGGTCCTCTAAAATAAAACCCTAACCCCTTGTTTAGACATTCTCCATAGCAATGACTCCCCTATTTATTTTATTAAAGCAATTCAATATATTATAAACAAAATTATTACAAACAAAATTATTACAAACAAATATTATATAATATTAGAAACAATTTACTTGAGTTTGGAAGCTAGCAATAATCCTGCGTTTAGCTTCAATAACATCAAGTTCTTTACCCCTGACTAGAAAAGTCAAGTTCATATTCTTTGATGTAGAAATTTCAATTTCAGCTCCAGTTTCTCTAGTAATTTGGCTACAAATACGTTTAGATTCTCCTTCTCCAAATTTTTCACTATTATCTGATTTACGGTCTTGGACAGAAATAGTAAATACCTAAATATCATACAAAACATTAATTTATTTATTATTATTATTCTAGTTATCAATTGATAACATTTTCTAAGAATTACTTATATAGAAATTAATATTATTTTGAAATTATTAAAATGATGTACAATAATATACAATTACTTTTCTATAGATAATGTATAATAAGTATAATAAATAAGATAAATATGTATAATAAATTACTTGATTCACAGTTAACGTTCGAACTTTACTCCATGTTTTAGGTGGTGCACTTACAGTTCCACACTGGCCATTAATCCCAATACTTTTAGGACCCAATGTTTTTGAATCAGGTAAAGCTGGAAACACAAGGTCATAGCTATTACCATTGTTACCTCCATCTTCTGGAACACTGTTGTTGGACACCGTGCGTTCACTCTTCAACTTAGGAATATCTTGTTGTTGTAACTCCAACATAATGGCTGCAGCTTCCTTACCAAACGTTAAGTCCAAATGAAACAAGTACCAAAGGTCTCTTCACTGAAACACTAAAATTGAAATGTGAAATTTTTATTTAAATCAAATTTTAATATGGTTCTATAATAATTAAAATCAACGGAATGTTATTCTACAGTTTTTCAATTGGAGTGGACCGATGTTGATAGTATTTTATGGTCATACTTATGTGATAATTTCTGCCTCATCTTTTTTATATTATTCAGTACTAATATCAAATCATCATGGCCAGTTACACGACTGAGCAATTCAAATGATTAAATTTATTTTTAATTTTTATGAAAATAAGTGTTCAATAGTGCAAATGTTGCATGCATTGCACCCATTTAACAACCGATATAACGGCATAACGATCCTTCAAAATCTACAGCCTAATTTTTGGTGGAGAAATTCAATACCAGTTCAGTTAAGAATCAACCAACACCTGTAAGTCATAGCAATGCTAGATTAGCTGAGAACATCACTGCGGTATGTGTAGCATGCAGGAGAACCTGAGGCTTTCAATTCCTTGCCATGCACGAGAAATCAGTCTTTCACAGACTTCAAACTTCGCAAATTTTGCGCCAGGACTAGGGCTTACACTCATAAAAAAATCCAACTAACTCAGGAGCTCAAAATAAATGATCATCAAAAACACTGATTGTTTGCTAACTGGGCTACAGCGCGTTTGGAAGAAGACCTTAATTTTGATCAAAAAATAATTTTTAGTGAGAAAACACACTTTTGAATGAATGGCTATGTGAAGAAAAAAAATTGCCTTTTATGGGAAGATACAACCCCACACAAGGTTTACCAGTTGACAATGCAACCATAAAAAGTTATGGTTTGGTGTGGATTTTGGACTGACAACATCATTGGTCGGTATTTTATTGAGACCATCACCATCAATGGTAAATGTTACAGAACGATAATAAACAATTTATTTTTGCTAAAATTAAGCGATATGTTTGTAGATGACACGTGGTTCCAGCAGGACGGCGCTTATGTGCCATACCACAAACACAACAACCAACATTCTGCATGAACAATTTGAGGGTATCTTTATCTCTCATAGAGGTAACGTCAATTGGCCACCAAGATGCCGTGCAATTTGACCCCACTAGATTTTTTCCAGTGGGGTTTCCTAAATTCACAGGTGTATGCGAATAAGCCGCAAACGACAAATGACCTTTAAATAAACATTAACCATACCATCACTCAAACTTAATTGAAAATTAGACCAATCGGATTCATGCAACTGTGAGAAGCCGTGGTATGGATAATTTTTCCTATATAATTGGCATACATAAAGCTTTAAAATAAAAAAAATAAAAAATGAATAGCTCACGCAAAGCTTATTTCATTTCATTTAAACATTGACTCATCCTTATTGAAAAACCTATATATATCTAAAAACAATTGACAAAATGATCCAATCGCTAATAATTAAAAGAAAATATAATTTTAATAGTTATTAAAATAATGTTATAAATTGATACCTATTAATAATAAATAATTAATTTTTCTGAGCAAAACAAAGGGTTTATGAAAAATATACAACTTGGCTTTTTTTGTGGGAATCAAATTAAAATTTTTAAGAATATTTTTTGTGATTATGTGAAGTCAAGTTTTTTGAAATTATTTAGATCTTAATGTGTCTTTATAAAAATGATTCAGCTTTATTAGAAACTATGGCATTCGTGCAGGAGGTGATCTACCAGGGATTGGGTGATCTGCGAATTCAATATGAGTGATCTACGTTTTAATAGTATAAAAACTGCACTTGGTGTATATAAACCGCCAACTGAATAGATCAGATAGTGAACTTATGTTTTACTCGGCCAAGCAAATAAAATACATATAGACTGACTCAGTCAATTTTGATACTAAACCGAGTAACATGAGTGACAAGGCCGAGTACTCGTCACGTGTAAACAAGGCATAAATGTCATTAATTGTTATCGCAAAACTGTCCCACTTTAATCTACGATAATGTGCGTATAATAATAGGTAATAATAATTGTAGATCACCAACTACACCTTGTATAATACAATAGATCACCTGCTACACGAATGCCGAAACTATCTAGGTTAACCTATGCAGAAATCTTATAAAACAAATTTTACACTACTACATAATATGTATAAAATAATATTTATATTTAATTTGATTCCATGAATAACCCTCATTATTCCCAACTGTTATTATAGAAATTGAAGAGCAATGGGAACGTTTATTTTTCTAATACATCAATTTTAATGCTAAAAAAATTGTCATAAACAAAATATGCTATTACATGCTATCAGTGTCATAACTAGATAAAAAAGTTAAATCAGTAAATAAATATTACATACATTCTAAATAAAAAACTAGATAAAAAACTTTTAGGTTCAACACTTGAACTTTAGCCTTCTATTTCAGTGCATATGTTATATTTTGTGTCAAATTATTATTATTATTATTATTATTATGAAGTAATCTACAGATTATCAGGAATGGCCAATGTATTAATATTTAGAAATATCCAACGACGACATGGTCCAAGCATAAAATTGCATTCGGCTACTTGTATGAAATAATTATGAATTTATCAATTAACTATATTAAACACCAATAAGCATTATGCATAGTCAACATGTTAAGGGTAAAATCTTTTTTTAAGATATTAACAATCAATAATATTTAAAAAAGAATGAATTTTTCATAATTTAAATTCACAAATTATAAAGATAAGTTATAGATAGTGCACTTTACTATTTAGATAAGATATTTAAATTAAATAAACATCAAAACAATATCAATAAATAAGATTAACTAAAAATATATATCTATTATACAGTATCGAATTGTAATATGATGATTTTTATTAAACCTCTATATAGTTTTTCTCAACACACCACAACAGTATAATGGTTACATTTTAATACAGGAATAATAATCAAAAATAATCAATAACAATGACAAAAACCAACTTTTAACTGATGATGAATTTGTAAAAAAGGATATCACAAAATAATGATTTATTTTTTCAATATTCAATTAAAATTAATACTAATAAATTATGAAAATGTTGGAAACAAAAGAAAGATTCTTATTTATAATTAATAAGATGATTAGGCCACAATTTATTGTTAGATATCAAATTTAAAAAAAATAAAAAATATAATAAATTAAGTCCTTGTAAAATATGTAAGAAAATACATTTGATAAAAATATTTTAATTGTAAATATATTTTTAATTAGAGACTAAAGAGTAGTAGTAAATACACAAGTAAAATAAATTATATTTTAAATTATTCCAATTATAATTGAATATCTACAAAAAAAAATATACACCAAAGTCTCTAAAATACAGAAAATCTTTGTTAAAAATTGAATGAATTATTATAATTATATTGGCAAAGATATAAGAGATAATATTATATAGAACTAAAAATTAAATTGTACTTTTACACATTAAAAATTTTTTTACAATGTTGAGAAATATATACAACTAAGCAGATATAAAGCCAACTACTGTAAAAAACATTTAATGTTAGTACTTAGTATGAAAAAATATTCTAGCACATTAAACATAAAATAAAACCTAACTTCACTACCTAAATTACTAAATATTGAGAAATATAACGAATTCATAGATTTATTATTATTTATATATACCAAATTCAAAAAAAATAGTAGACAGTACTGTAGCGAAAAAAAATTGCTTCTTTACAATTTTTTTAATTTAATCGAATAATAATAAAATGCATGGTTATTTTATAAGTAACACACCAAATTAAATAGCTCATTAATCATATTACAAATAATCAAAATATACTTTAACATAAAAAATTGAATTTTTAAGCATGGGTAATTCACTAGATGCATGATGTAAATTATACATTAAGCAAAATTATTTTATCGTACTGACGAATTTTCTTTTAATATGTTATTCTTTTCTTTTTTTTTTTAATTTATCTTTAATAGCAATATAGCTTGAACTCAATTATTGACCGCCATCAATAAAATTAAATAGCGATCAACTCCAATCTTGTACTTGAACCTCATAATTAATAATAATGATGACAACGACATCGTTCAATCGCTGGGGGGGAATAAAACGCAAGAATCGAAAGGGGAGAGCAAGGGTCTAAATAGAATATTAAAATCCGATATCAACTACGTAGTACGCAAGTAATGCTTAGTAGTGACGGCTGCGAAAACGGTAAAAAATTGGAAGTTCGGCCGGCTGCGCCAAATAATTATAGCAAACGACGAGCGTCGAAAATCCCCTGGACAATTTTGGGATATGTGCAAAGAAAGAAAAGGAAAAAATTAAAAAAATAGGCCTATTCGCGAGTCGACGTGTCAACCGCACTAGCGTGTGCGCAACACGCAGACATAACCCCAGACGCACGATCATCGCCATGAGGTTTTACGATCGTTGTGTTGGCCGCGTCGTCTCGGCGATGGTGGTGACGACCGGTTGGACTACGGCTCGATAAATAAAACACTTACTGAAATCACGTTGTCGGCCTTCCGGTAGAACGAGGACTGTTTGTCGGGGTTACGAAACTAAGTGTACATAAACAACACAACAGAACACTATTAGACGCGAAACCGAAACGATTTTAACTAGAAAAGGAACGAGCCGCCGCACCGCTATCAAACCATTTCACATGTAGAAAAAAAAAATTTTTCTCACCTTTCGACAGTGTAGCCATGCCACGGGAATGGCTCAACCCGAAACGACAGTCGTTCCCGTCGATTGCGAGAGAACCGCCAAATGGCAAATTCGAAAGCAGCCGACCGACGATTTTATTATAATTGTACCCGTGACGCGGAAACTACTCCGGCTATATCCTATCCCTATCACCATACACTTGACCAGCGGTGCGCATACGAGTGCCAAGCGTTGGAATCCGGTCTTCGCGCGGAATACATTGGGTCCAACACGGCAACGAACGTTAGCAACTATGTCACGTCAGCCAATGTGAAC